CAGCCACCTGGATTGGCGCAGGAGCCAGCAGGGACAGCTAGAAGGGAGAAAGAAGCCATTATGAGGCTTCTCCTGGGGAGAGTAGAGCTTTGCCAGGTGCCATCCCCTTTCTCTTTGTCTGGATTAGGAGCCACAGAGGGTTAGTGCTAGCGGACACCTTACCAGCATTTCTTTGTAGAGATGAGAAACTCAAGTCTTAGGAGCTTGTGTGGTGTCTCCCTCTTCTGAAACTCAACTTCCAGGCTGCTCTGTGCCTGCTAATCAAATATACTTTGAGCCCTTAAATTGCAGCTTTTGGTCCCTGCCACCCAGCCCTCCGGAGTGAGGCTGGAATAAACGCTAGGTGGTTAAGCAGTACTCATGCAGGCATGATGGTGTGTATAGGTGAAGTGACAGGTAGGAAAAGAATGTCCTGCCTCCCTGAGAAAATCGATACTTCTGAGCACAGAAACTGGGAAGCAGTCCTCAAAGCAAGGTTCTCCTTTCCACGAGGATGAGTCACATGAAGTAACTGGTAGGGAATTAATGGGGTGGGATTGGGGGTGAGGGTGCTTTGATTCACCCATGGTGGCATTGTATTTGAAAACTAGGACTAGCTGGCCAGGGGCACCATGTGTGACTGGAATAATACTTCAGAAAGAGGATTTATCCTTCATTAAACGAATGAACTGTCTTTGGGAAAACTAGGCAAGTAGAAAACAAGTATGGTACACAGTAACCTGGGATTCCAGGAGTCATTTGAGATTTTTCTTCCCTCCTTCCTTTCCTCCCCAAGTCTGATTCGTTGTCAGGCCCTGTGATTTGACTTACAGATACCTGTTACATTCATATCCAAAGCTTTTGCTTGAATTGTTTTTTTAGATATTTTAATCACCTTTTTCCCAGAACATAGCAACAGCTTGCTAATTGATCACCTTGCCTCCTGTTTGCCTTCTCCATTCCATTTTCCCCAGGGCCTCTAGGAAGTTCTTTGTGAGACATAAATATGATCTTGTCATGATCCTTCAGTAGCTTCTGTTACCTTGATGTAAAATCTGGGCTCCCATGGGATCCAACCCAGTCCCCTGCCTCACTTCTCCCACTGCCCTGCACCTGCCCTTCACTCCCCTCACCTGCTTGCAGCTCCTCTCACCTCCTTGCCTTTGCCCCTGCCTGGAACATGATTCTCCCCCATCCACTGACTGAACCCTTACTGAGAGGCCCAGACCAAATGTCTTCCAAGCCTTTCTTCCCTGTCACTGAAAGGAGTGAGCCTTCTCTTTTCAGCCATCTGACCCTGGGTTTCTAGGGTTCATGCTTCTTATTTGCAGACTAAGCTCCTGGAAAATGGAGATCATGTTTAATTTAGCTCCACAGACCCAGCTCCCAGATGGTGCTAGGCACCGGTAGGAGTTAAGTAAATGTGTGTTGACTGCCTGATTATAGAAACAGAAATGGGAGATTTGGAGACTTGGTCCATCGAAGCAAAGTGCTATAAGGGAGTGGCTTACCTCATATCCTTTATAACCAGGTTGACAATGTGTGTCCACTGCAGTCTTAACCAAGGAAACTGCACTTCTGCACCATTTGGAGAAATACAATTGATCTGGTTGTGAAATGAACCCCAACTTCTGTGTACACACCTCCCTTCCTCTGATTATCTGATGATCAAACCACTGATTTATTTACATTTTTAATACATGTATTCACAGGTACCTTGAAAAGCTACTCCCTTACTTCATACCACCAGCTATTTCACCTGACTCTGTGCAGCCTCCAGTGTGCATTACCATTACCAAGTAACTGATCACTTTGATTCAGAGCCAGCTTCTAACGTCAAATGCCATATTCTTCCTAATATAGCACACCGTTCTCTTCCCAGGCTGGTGTGTTCCGCATTACACCTACATTTTGTCCACCACATTGATTCCTTCTTTCATCAAACAGCCAGATGATGCCATATGTGACCAAAGGAACCTTGGTCTGGTGGCAAAATCATACCCATATCAGAAGATAGCCATCAAGGCACAAAAGGGAGCTTGACAAATGAGGAGTCAAAGAAGTCTTCCAGGAGGAGGTGACTTTCGAGTTGGGTCTTGAAAAGTAGGTGGATATCCCCAGGGAAGAGAAGAGCATTCTAGGCCAAAGAAACAGCTAGAATAAAGGCCTGAGACTGAAAGGCATCCCAGATCTGAGAAATTAAGGTTTGGTGAAACTTGAACTACTGGGGCAGGGAAGATCCCTGTCTCCGAGGGCTGTTCAGCACGGAGGCATGATGGGAACTGTGAGTGCTCTCTCCAGCTGCTCCCAAGGCCTTCCTGCCCCACACGTGCCCCCACGGCTGAGCGAGGTTCCCAGGGCTGTTGGCACTCACACCCACTCGCACCCGCTCAGGCGGGTGGCATCCCAGAAGGAAAGAGGCAGGGGAGGAAGCAGATAAGAAAGACAGCTTCTGTTTAGACACAAATATCTTGGTAATCAGCACAGATGGGATGAGAAATACCAAAAAAAGTACATGACAGTTTAGAGAGAATTTGGCTAAATGTTACATATTTTTAACATACCTGTGTAGAGTTTTTGGAATAAGCACCTGAGCCCCTCCAAACCTGATTGGGGCTGGGAGGCATGCTACAGTCAAGCGTTGTTTTTATTTCAGAACTGTTCCCTTCCCCATCCGCACAAGTACCTTTGAAATTTTTTTTCTCCCACCAAAATAAGGCGCAGGATTTGTCTCTGACGCTGTGTCTCCCTATTTGGACGGCAAGCTGTGTAACATATTTCCACCCAGCGTGAAGCTTCTTGGCAGACTCTTGAGGCCACGTTTTGGTGGCTTCAGAGTTATCTTTGGATCTGTCAAAAGTGCTAATGGGCTTTCTGGCCTTCTTTAAGCTCCTCATTTCTATTTTCTTTTTACTTCCATCCTCTTCTAAAAGAAAAATTCATGTAATTCATCAGCAGTTAAGCTTTTACCGAAGCGCTCAGCCGAGGGCCTCGTATTTTTGTTTGCAAGAAGAGTGCTGCCATGGCACTGTCTCCAGAACAGACCCCACCCTAACATCATTAGCTCAGCGTTCCTCAGTCCATCGGGCCAGATCCGCTTGTTGCCTAATTCAGTCTGCCTTTCACGTTCATCTTGTTTTCCGCACGCTTAAGAGGCAAGTCGGTATGGTGGTGAGAGCATGAATTTTGGATTTATAAAATCTGGTTTTGAAACTTGGCTCTGCCCTTTCTAGCTGGGTGACCTTTAGAAGATTACTGAACCTTCCTGAGCCTGTGTATTCTTACAGAAAATGGAGAAGGCAATGTCTGTCTCAGGGTCATTGAGAGGATTAGAGAGAACACAGTAAAGTACCCATCAGCGGCACATAAGGATCGCTCAGTAGTAGGGTAACAATTTTTAACAAGACAAGTCTCTTTCTTTGGGCATAGTTTAATCCTGTTTTGTTCCTTTCCTTTTTCAAATATGATTTCTATCTATGATTTCGAGTGACATAGGAAAAGAACACAGGTTAAGGACAGACCTACCCAGGACTGAATCTTGTCTTACATCACTTCTCTGTGCCTCTGTTTCCTCATTTTACATAGGGATAATGATACTTAGATGAAAGGAGTGGCCTCAAGATTAAGTGAAATAATATAGATAAAGCCCTGTACTGGTAGTACTTTAAAAGCATTTGACAGGGACAGTGTAGTATAAGAGAAAGCACATAGCCTATGAAGTCACATCTGATTCTGCCGCTTACTGAATCTCTCCTAGACTTGAATTTTTTCTGTATACTGAGATGAATAATGCCTCATTGGATTTTGTGAACACTGCATAAAATTATGCATGTGAAGTGTCTAATACAGTGCCTGGCACTTGATAGGTAGTCAGTATATGGAGCTATTAATTCACTTAGTCGTTATTTTTAAAGGTTGATAGTTAACCTGTACTCCAGGCAAACAATAATAAATCATAAGATAAGTGCTCATTCTTATTCCCAACCCATAATATTGTTGAGAAGCACTTTATGCTATTTTGCATGTAAAAATCTACTTGGTTTACTTCAATTTATGGGTTACAGATCTTTAATCATTATAAACTGCAGCCCCTGGCAGTAGCCTTCCTTCTCACCCCAGTCCACTGCATTTCAGAGGATTATATTGTGTGGCATTGAAAACCTGTAACATTGAAGAAATTAGCATATTCATGTGTATTATTAAAGTCAGGTGGGTATAGAAAGGGTTGTAGAAATGAAACACATTCCATTTTTTCTGAAATCTGAAGAGTACCAATCTACAGTACTAATTAAAAAAATGAAGTCCAGGCTATAGAAGAAAGCCCGTTGAAACACTGCTTTGTCACAACTTGCTGCTGTTTGTCTTTGATTATTTTTTTATTTCCTTTTGAGTGAAATACCTAAAAATTATAAATCTTCAAAATTACTTTAATTCCAGCTGAGCCATTTGAAAGAATGTAAACTGTGGAGGAGGTGAGCCGCAGTAGTGATGGCAGGGGAGGAGCACACCTGACCTTCACGGGTGGGAGGGACTGCGCACAAACACCTCTCTGCCAGAAGCATTTGGGTCCCTGAGTACTTTCTTTTTCTAGACTTACTCATCAAGAATCCAGAGTAGGATCCGGGGTCCAAACATCTGAGCTGCAGTCTTGTCTCCATTGCTCTTTGATCTTGGCAGATCTCTCTGAGCCTTGGTTTTCTACATCGTAAGAATGAAGAATTTCTGTCCTGTTCCCCTTCCGGAACTGACATGAGAGCACACCGCACTGTGTAGACTTGACATTGTAAACCATGATCACCACATATAGATGTGATTGCTCAGCCTGCTTCATCTCCAGGTCTCTTCCAACTTGCCATTTCATGATTTTACACATGGGTGGGATTTGGTCTCAGGTAGAAAGAATAGGATGGGGGAAGAAGAGAGAGTACTTTTGATTATTTTCAGCTTCTCCTACTTTTATTAGATACTGCTTGTTATAAGAACAGACAAAACAGCAACAAACCTTGCTTTCTTTTTCCTAGAGAAATCTGACAGAATATTTTGTGGCCGTGGATGTGAACAACATGTTGCATCTGTACGCCAGTATGCTCTACGAGCGCCGGATACTCATCGTTTGCAGCAAACTCAGCACTGTGAGTAGACAGTCTTGAAACAGGCTTTTTAATTATTTAATTTTAATTGAAAGATGTATCGGCAAGATTAAAGAAAACTGTAGAAAAAGAAGCAGCCACGATCCCCTTATATGGTAACATGTCATTTTCATTAATTATTCATGTTTCTTCACAGTGCCAATGCACATTTCATTTATTCTTATAGTTTCACAATCAATTATAAATAGTTTTCCATTTGATTGTGTTATGAAAATTTTGCATATTTCCACATAAGTTTCCATTATTGTCATTTAAGAAAACTATTTTCTGAGAGGGAGGAAGACAAGAAAGGAGACAACCCCAACAACGTCCACATGCCACAATCCACCTGCAGCATTAGTCACAAGTATAACAGGCATGCATGTGTGTGGTTGGCATGTACAGGGAAGACGCAGGACACAAGCCCTGGGACCTTCCTATGTGGTCCCAGCATCATGGAATGTTCTGTTACTGTGGTATCACTGCTGGCCTCCATATTATTATTATTTATTATTATTATTATTATTATTATTATTACTATTGCTGCTGCTAGAGAATATGTGAGAGGAGGAAGGCATCTCCCAGTTAGGCATGATCTCTCCAGAATCCCTCCTCCATTACCCCATCTGGTTGGAATTTTGGGCAGGCATGCATACATACCCAACAGGCTTTTCAAGCCTCAGGTCTGGGATTCCTTAACCACCAGGCCATGGAATTGGCTCTGTTATTGCCATTTTTTAAGGGCTATACCATATTCCATTATACTGATATGCCATCATTTACTAGATCTTCTCTTCATGGCCATTTAGGTTGACCATAGTTTAATCTTTTAGTAGATAATACTGCAATGAACATCTTTGAGCTTCTCATGAAGGATATAGAGTTTATATTCTAAGGACTGGGTCCACCAGATCAAAGAACCTAACAAGCCCCATGACTTAAGAATTGTTTGATTCCCCAAAGGGCTGTGCTTGTTTACAGTGAATGCTGCAAGCTGTATATTTATGTGGTGTACCATTTTCACTACAGTCTTGCCAGAATCATGTGTGTGTGTGTGTCATGCATGTATTTTAATTTTGCTAATAAAGTAGGTATAAAATGATATTTCAGGCTTGCTTCAGTTTTAATTTCTTTGGTGAGAGATAACTGAGTTTTTTCCTATGGGTTTATTTCCTGTTCATGTTTTGCTAAGATCTTTTGTAGAGGCGTTGAGGTTTTTCTCATAAGTTGGAATGAACTCTTTATATAATGTAATAACTTTTGCTGTATGTATAATATAAATATTTTTGTTTTAGTCTTTTTTTTTTGCTAGATTATATTTTTCCCAATATCTTATTATAAAATCCTTAAGCATTAGGGAAATTTGAAATTGTCTTACAGCAAACACTGCTATAGTTCCATTTAGATTCTACCAGTAACATTTTACTGTGATTGCTTTATCACATATTTGCCCATCTCTTCGTCCTTTTTACCACCATCAGTCTATTTTATTTTTGATGTATTTCAAAGTAAATCACAGATACCATTTTTTTCCTCTCTAAATGATTCAATATCTGCAGTATTTTTGTTGTGGTTTTTGTTTTTAGGTAAAATACACAAACAGAAATTGGCTGGGAGTAGTATGCCTAACAGACATTTCTCTACTAGGGAGGATAGAAAAACTATTTTATAGTAAGAATTTCCTAATAAAGGGTCCATGGATGAATCAGTTATATGTTTACTTAGAATAAAAGGTATTTAATAATGAAAATTTTATGAGACTTGAAGTTTTTGTTATGGTTTTCAACATAATTTCATTACTTTAGTATTTCTTTGGTTTATTGATTGATTGTCAGAAACTCACAAGTGTGTTTCTTGCCTACTATATGCTAGACTTATAGCATGTGGTAAGTGAAAGTAAGAAATTGGGCTGAACCTATAGCCTCCTGGGTAATGGAGCCAGATCACATATGACCAGATCACATATTCAGCTACAGTTTGAATCCTGGCTCTAGAGGGTTGTAAAACCTGCCAGGCATGTGTATGTACATGACCCAAATCCCAATAGGATGGACAAATGGAGAAGAAGGGATTGCAGTGTGACAATGCCCCTTTGGAGGGTGTTCTCTTCTCCTCCCTGTCTCTGTGTCTCTCTCTGGTGAGCACACATATGCTTTGGCAACTTAAAGAAGTCGTATCACCCATTGTCACTCGTTAATGTAGGTACAAAAATCTTAAACAATTAGGGCCAGCAGGTGATGAGATGGTTAAGATGCTGGATTCTCACATGGCTGACCACAGTTTGAGTCCCAGATCTAGTGGTTTCAAAATCCCCCTGGATGTGTATGAGAGTGTGCTCAAAATCCCAGGAGGAGAATGAAGGAGAAGGTATTGTCGCAAGATCATCCCCCCTGGGGTGTGATTTCTTACTTTCCCTTTCTCTGTCTCTCTCCAGGAAGTGCATGAGCCCTATGGCAAAAAAGGAAAAAAAAAAAAGAAAAAAAATTAAACAAAATAGTAAGCAAATATATAAAAATAGAATTCATAACTAAGTTAGGTTGATTTCAGTAATACAAGGTTGATAATTCTAGAAATGTTATTAATACAACTTATACATTAACATACTGAAAGGGAAAACTCATATGGTCATCAATAGATGAAGGAAAATCATGTCCATATTCATGAATAGAAAGATTCAACATCTGCAACCAACAGGTGGCATGGTGGTTAGGGCACTGGACTCCCTCCCATGTGGCTGACCACCGTTCAAGTCCTGAACTTGGTGGCTTACTTTCTTACTCTGTCTGTCTCTTTCTACCTCTCTCTGGTGAATGTACATATCCTATAGCAAAATGGTAAAAAATAATAATAATAATAAATAAAATGAAATTAATAATTTTTAAAACAAGAAAGATTCAATGTCTTAGAAAGGTTATTTCACTCCAAAATGATTTGAGAAAGATTGAATACACTTTTAAAATCCCAACAGGGTTTTACATAGTACCTGACAAGTTGATGCTGAAATTGAAATGGAAAAGTCAAAGAAAGAGCCAAGATATAACTAAAGAAAAAGGATGTGTTGTAGAAGCTTGCTATACCAGATATCAAACATTTCTTAAAACTCTGTGGTAATTAATACCCTAGTAGTGACACAAGGGTACACAAAAAGGCTGATGGAATGGAATGAAGAGCCCAGAAATAGACCACGTGTGTATCAGCTCATTATATACAGTAGAGGTGTCATTGTAGAACCTGTGGAAAATAGATGGACTTTTCAATAATTGCCTGTGTCTTTGAGCAAGAGAGAGGGACAATTTCTATCTTACACATACAAAACTAAATTCAAAATGGTTCAAGAATTTAAATGAGAAGGGTGAAATGTTAAAGCTTTTGGAGGCAAAATAGAATGGGCCCTCGTCATCTTAGAGTAGAGGACAGTTTATTTAGTCGATCCAAAAGATGCATTACATAAAAAGATTAAAATTGTGAAGTTTTGTTCATTAAGAGATACTATTTAGTGAATAAAATAACAAGCCACAAACTGAGACAAGATATTTGCCATATATAAAATGGAGGATAAGTTTCTGAAATCTATAAGAAACGACTACAATTAAATAGCAGAAAAAAATTTCAATAGGAAAATTGGCAATAATTATGAATGGGCATTACACAGAAGAAATACTGATGGTCAGTAAATACATGGAAGTTGCTCAACCACGTTAGTAATCTTAGAAAAGCAAATTAACACTGCAGTGAATGGGACCATCAGGTGATGTGGTGGTTAAGGCACTGGACTCCCACATGGCCAACTGCAGTTCGAGTTCTGCACCTGACAGCTTACTCACTCTTCCTCTCCCCCCATTCCCTCTCTGATGAGTACACATGCCCTATTACAAATTAAAATAAATAAATAAATTTAATGATTTTTTAAAAAAGAATATAGTGATTAAAACACAAACTTTGTCAAATGGGCAGACAACAAAAGCAAAAGTAAACAAATGGTACTGTATGAAGCTAAAAACCTTTTTTATGTAGATGAAAATAATCAACAGAGTGAAAAGACAACCTATAGAATAGAAGAAAACATGTAAATTATTATTTTTGTTTGTTTGTTTGTTTGTATACACACACACACACACACACACACACAGTAGAACACTATTCAGCCATTAAAAAGAATAATACTTTGATGTTCAAGGCAACCTGGATGAATCTGGAGGATGTATGTGAAGTGAGATAAACCAGGCACAGAAGGAAGTACATTGCATGTTCTCACTCATATGTGGAAACTAAAAAATAAATTGTTCCCATAGAAGCAGAGAGTAATGGTTGCTGGAAGCTGGGAAGGATGGCAAGAAGACAGATAGATGCAAAATTACAGCTAGATAGGGAGGAATAAGTTCCAGTGTTTTATAGTATAGTAGAGTGACTACAGTTAATAATTGATCATACATTTGATGCAGCTCAAAGAGAAGATTTTAAATGCTTCCCACACAAAGTAGTAACAAATTTTTGAGGTGACGAATATGAAAATTACCCTGATTTGATCATAACACATTATATTCATACATCAAGAAGTCACATCAAAGGCCAGCAGGTGTGGTGTGGTAGTGAAGACGCTGGATTCCCACATGGCCTACCAGGGTTTGAATCCCAGACCTGGTGACTTGCTTTCTCACTTTCCCTCTCTCTAGTGAGCACACATGCCATTTAACAGATTAAAAAATAATAATAGGAACAGTAAATAAAATTAAATTTTAAAAGAAATCACACTATACCCCATAAATATGTACCATTATTATATCACTTAAAACAATATAACACTAGGTTTGCAAAAAGATGTGTGACAAAGCCAAATACTCTATTGGAGGTATATCACAGAAGTTCCTGTACTGCTGTTTGAAGGATATGTGGCACAAAACTATTTGCATATGTCCCTCACTCAGCAAGATTCTGGATAGAATCTTATATATACACACATCTCTTGGTCCTGTATAGTGGGATGTATATATATAAGAATATCT